TGAAGTCTACCCCACCCTCCCCATTACTGCACACCTACTTTAAGGTAGATGCCTGCTTTTGAGAACAGTGCTTTTGAGAAGTGCTTTCAGGCAGCTCTTGTATGCTCCCCATTCAGCTGGTCCAAAGTGTGGGAAATAACTCTGGCAGAAAATTAATTGGTTTGAAGTGAAAGACTTGTTTATTAGCAGCTTTTGTGTGTTAAGCTTTTAGGTGTGTATTATTGGGCTTTCCTTTCCTTTTTAAGCAGCCCTCCCTCTATATAACACATGTCTATATAATAAAAATGTAAGAATGTCATCACTCAGCTCCCATTGGAGATTTTGTAGTTCCCCTCCATAATCCTGGATTTGCATGAAGTCAGAGCATAGCCGCTCCTGGAGGATTTGTAGTCTCTCATTACAGTCTTTGATTTGTACAAAGTCAGGGTAGGATAGGAGAGCAAAAATGGAGGCACATAGAACAACAATAGGGGCCATGACATAGGAGGAACATGGGGGTTGAAGAGATAGAGTTAAAATAATGGCAGGGGTTTGCACAAAGTACCTTCATTGTCTGAAAACACAACATAATATTTGTATGCGCTGCATCCTTTATGTCTTCCACATGAGGCAGCCGAGGAATGGAAGAGGGCGAAGTTTAAGAAAGTGGCTACTTTAAGCAATGGCAGATGTTGGAGTAAAGTGGGGATGGAGTCCTAGGTTTGCCACACACAAAGTTGTTGAGCTAATTTTCTGAAGTTTTGGAGCTGTTTTTAAGGAAAATTGGCAAAATCCAGATTTCTGACATGAGCTGCCATACACAGATTTCCAGTATTCCAGCTATGTCCAGGAAATTCCTGATGTATGGCAACCCTATGGTGGTTTAAACAATCTGAATAATTGTTCAGGTTGATTGTTATTAACTCATGCCTTTAGTAATTTACCTTTTACTGTATTTCACTCTATAACTAAAACTCCCCTTTTTGACTTTGCCTTTTATTCCCTCCCAGATCTGTTAGGAAGGCACTCTACTACCTAGACTAAAGTTCCCTAGGCTGTGTGCTCTTGCATATTTTGGTAAACATGTTAGTCTCTGGGCCAGTTCTGTTGGGCTGACAGCAGCCTATTGTCTGGCAAAATGCAGCCAGAGCCACAGAGGGAGATGTTCCCCTAGAGCTAGAGTAATTTCCTCCACTCATTTGTGTTCCAGAAGGGCTTATTGCCTGCACACAGTGTAGTAGGTTTCAGACACACATAGAGAGCTGCATAACCTGAGCAAGTGCAGTAACAACGCTTAACCACTTTGGCAGCTGAAATGGTTTGTAGTGTTAATGTTCTTCCAAATGGAATACCTCCCTGTCTAACGTAAGGAAGCATAAAACTGTACATATTTACACTGAGGAAGAGTTTAAACCACACATTAATTTAATTTGCAAGCAAATACTTATATAGCAGGTCATAAATACAGCAACCAGTTTTTCTCCAAAGCTGTCAAATCAGCACATTTCAAATATAATTTGGTATGCACAGTTTCAACAACCTCTTCCAAGGTGTAAATACCGTGAAAGTATCTGCTTTTTTAAATGAATTTTTGTTTTGTTTTGTTTTTAAGTGAGTGAAACCATTCTTGAGGAAAGCAAAGAAACATAGCTGTATCGGCCATTTTGCAGCAGTAGTAGCTGCAATGGAACTGAGAGATGATAACTTTATTGATCCTTGCCAAGTGGGCTGACTTGTCTATGGAATCCCCTCCACCTGACAGGAGAGATCCTGGTAACCAACATTAATTTTAGCAGGGCACATTCAAGTATACACAAGATCTATATAGCTTATAAAAGATTCCTTCTTTTTCTGATACTGTGTTGCAGAGTAATCCACAGAACCTCAGCCGTACTCCTATCTCAGTGTGATGTTGGGGTCTAGACGGCTGGGCCTCAGGTTTGAAAAAGAGTTGGCACAAGGCTTCCTTGAAACTTCAGGCTCCAGTTAGCCTTTGGTCTAAAAGCAAACTTTGCTTGCTGCCAATAAGCTTTCCCCAAATATTTATTGAGGTTTCAGAACTAATTTATTCTGATCAGCTGAATTATGTATGAGTGCAACAAAAATGCTTTCTCCAAAAGTCAGATTTCTTTGTTTCTTCTGTGGCCAAACTTCTTTCAGAAATGCGTGCCTCTCAGTTTCCCCTGCATATCCTTATTATGGCCATTCTCTTGTTGTTTGGCTCATTTCTGGTCTAACTGACATTTGGCACAAATGCAATTGCAAGAACCTTACCTGAACCTGTGGTCGGAATGCCACTGTTTCTTTTCTAACTTACATATGTTGAAATGTTCGTTTTCTTGTGCTCAATAGTTGAAATGCTTTTCATTCGAGGAGCCAAGAATTTCTTTGCCTCAGGGGTTGACATTGACCACCATTTCAAATATTTTCGGATTGATAAGTGTGTTTGATATGTCAGTGTGTTTTTCTTTTTCTCCTCCTCCTCTCAGAAGTTAATTTTCTCGAGCAAATTGATGTATTTTGTTGAACGCTGCCTGGAAATGAAATGTATAGAAGTAGCATAAAATGAATGTATGCTCTTTCCACAAGGCTCATGCTAGAAAATGAATTCTTATGCTGACAGTAAACAAGAGAGTGTACAATGAAATAGTTTTTTTTACCTTTAACACCCAAAGCATCTTAGGATCTGAGGACCTAAAAGGAACACCTCTTACAGTAGGAGCCCTTTTCATGCACTGAGCTCAATATCCACAGTGGCAGTGCGGTCAATGAGGTGGGATTGCAGCGCTCACCTGACCTCTGGTCACTTGCATTGTTGCTGCATACTAGGATGGAAAGAGGCAGGTGGCAGTGAATTGGGTGCACTACACAAGCATTGACAGAGCCAATCTGGTGCCACAGGTGGTTTGTTGTCACCATGCTGACCTCATAGCCTCCTCCACTCTTTCCCGCTGTGCAGCAGTGTTACCACCAACCACAAGTCAGGTGAGCACTGCTGCTACACCTACCACAGCTGATCAAAGACCCTGCTCTTTGTGCCACCACCAGTTGAATTTCATCAGATGCCTACGTGGAGCAGGGGCCTTTCAGTTGTAGCAGCAATTGCATAGCATGCCTCTCACAAGAGGCCTGCCCAACCTCAGCACTTGGGTCCCTTAGGGGCCAAGTTCAGGTTCAGATTTGTCTAGTTCAAATAATGTCATCGTGATGAAAACCCCTGCCATGTCTGCAGTAGCCAATGGGAGAGATTGGTAGGGGTGGGGAAATAATGCGGAATGGCACGAGTACATGGAATGGGGAGGGAAATGCCACACACTCTGGTCAATCTCCCCACCCCCCAAAAAAGCTCAACAACTCTGGTCAATCCAATGGGTAGATCACTGCCAGTTGTTTTTTTATAGTGGGAGTAGATTGCGGTCTCTTGGAAGTATTACTGCATCCCAACAGCACAATGATTCCCTTGAGTGCAACAGGATCTCTCTCCCTTCTCTTTTTCCCTGACCCTGTGCCCTCCCCAAATGTGATTCAGGGGGTTGGGAGAACAGATATAAGGGGGAGAGAGTTGAAGTTCCATTGCACAAGCAAAAACCCTTTCACTCACAGAGCTGCTTCATTAGCACACACAAACCAAAAACTGCAATCCTAACCACATTTACTAGGGAATAAACCCCACTTACTTTTCAACAGGCATGCACTGATTGCACAGGGCACATATTAAGGAGTAGATCTACTTCTAAGGAATGGTGCATTTTTATTTATTTTTTAAAGGAAACCAATTGTCTCCTTTGTTTTAATAGGGCCCTTGGCTACCTCTACCGTCCCTAAAAGCAAAACATGGAATTAATACACCTAATCTAAGTTGGAAAGAGTGGCTACAATTTAAATGGTGAGTTGTCTGTGCCCTTGTGAACAGCCTGCTCTCCTTTCCTGCCTGCTTTATCACTGCAATCGTAAGTGCTTGAATATAACTACTCCCGCTTAGAACATCCTGCGCTTGGCAGGTTGCCCAAGGTTAAAGGTCTCTCTTGCATGTTGGTTGCTCAACCCAAAGCATTTCCCCTCTTCTTTCTCCTCTAGGAGATCTTAAAAAGCTAGAAATCCATATAATCCAGTACTTCTAGTAGAGCAACATATTCTTAGGCCCTTTTCTGATGATAGCTGAAAAGACCCTTTAGTGTTGTACTAGGGTTAGGGATGCTGGAGGGGTGAGAAAAGGTGCCCTAAACATAGTCTGCCTCCCTTTTTCCCTGACTGGATTACCACACCCAGTGGGGTCACCACCTAGTGGTCGTAAAAGACAATTGAATTTTGGAACATGGAACATATAGACTTTGTCAGATAACACAGACAGCGAGCGTCCTGAACGCAGAACTGCCATCACCGCAAGAGAGCTGCGACGTTTTAACATCAATATTGCAGTGCTTCAAGAGACTCGAAGAGCAGGCGAGGGACAACTGCAGGAAGAAAAAGGAGGCTACACATTCTTCTGGAAAGGTTTATCTGAACAAGAACATCAAATACATGGGGTAGGCTTCGCTATCAAAAACGACCTTGTGAAGCTCCTGTCAGAAGTCCCTACCGGCATTAATGAGTGACTCTCAACCCTTCGAATAAAGCTCACCCAAAACCAACAGGCTACTATTATAAGCGCTTATGCACCAACACTGGATGCCGATGAAGACATTAAAGAAAAATTTTACTCTCAGCTGGATACTGTCCTATCAGAGATGCCTAAGGAAGATAAAATTATCCTCCTGGGTGATTTTAATGCAAGAGTTGGGTGAGATTTCGATCTGTGGCCTGGAACTATTGGGAAAGAAGGAGTTGGCAACAGCAACCAGAACGGAATCTTACTTTTGACAATATGTGCAGCTCACAACCTTGTTATTACCAACACACTTTTTCAACAGAAAAATAAATTTAAAACTTCATGGAGGCACCCTTGGTCAAATCACTGGCATCTCTTAGACTATGTTATTATCTGTGCTAAAGATTGCCATGATGTGCTCCTTACCAGAGCTATGACAAGCGCCGACGACTGCTGGACAGATCACCGACTAATACGCTCCACGATGGCTATCAAGATTATACCTCAATGCAGGCTTCAAGGAAGGAAACCAAGGTGCAAAATGAACACTCAAGCCCTTCAAGATCCCATTAAGCAGGATTGCTTCCAAATGACTCTTAAGGGCCATCTGCTTTCAGAATTCCCTGATAACATCGAGGAACACTGGACCAAGCTAAAAACATCCATTATTGCAGCCTGTGAACAAACAATTGGATACCAAACCAAGAAACACCAGGACTGGTTTGATGAGAATGACAGTGAGATTGAATGCATGATTGACAAGAAAAGGAAGGCTTTCAGATCTGACAAAGAGATAGAAACTGTGCCACTAAGAAAAAAACCCATGGCAACGCTAATGCTGAGGTTCAAAGAAGAACCAGAGAACTAAAAAACACCTGGTGGATAAAAAAAGTTCAAGAGATCCAGCACTTAGCTGACACTCATGATGCACAGTTTTTTTTAAAGCCACAAAGAAGAGTTTGGATTTGATATCCCGCTTTATCACTACCCAAAGGAGTCTCAAAGCAGCTGACATTCTCCTTTCCCTTCCTCCCCCACAACAAACACACTGTGAGGTGAGTGGGGCTGAGAGACTTCAAAGAAGTGTGACTAGCCCAAGGTCACCCAGCAGCTGCATGTGGAGGAGCGGAGACGTGAACACGGTTCCCCAGATTACAAGTTTACCGCTCTTAACCACTACACCACAGTGGCTCTCACACAAAGACCATCTGTTGGCCAATAACTCATGGCATGTGCCCCCTATGCTCAGCAGACAGTATCACACTTCTAAAAGATAAAGAAGCTATTGCACTGTGCTGGAAAGAACATTACCAACATCTCCTTAACCACAACTCCCCCGTAGCTGCTGAGGTCTTGTCACAAATTCTGCAAAAACAAGTTAGAGATGAGCTTGCAGTATCTCCAAATCTGGGAGAGTTGTGTACAGCTATTAACCAAATAAAAAACGACAAAGTCAGTGGACCTGATGGGATACTTGCTGAAATCTTCAAAGTGGGCGGAATTAAACTTACACAACAACTTCACAAGCTCTTTGAAAAAATCTGGGAAAGAGAAGAAATCCCAGCAGACTTTAGGGATGCCAAAATTATCAATCTCTTTTAAAAAGGTGACAAAACTGATTGTGGAAGGCATCTCTCTATTAGCTGCAGCCGGCAAAATTCTTGCAAGGATTTTAGCAAACCATCTCGTAACAATATCTGAGGTGACCCTTCCTGAATCCCAAAATGGTTTTCGGCCCTCTAGGGGGACAGTGGACATGATTTTCACCACTCAACAGCTTCAAGAAAAATGCAGAGAGCAAAACCAACCCCTGTATATAGCGTTTATTGACCTGACTAAGGCTTTCGACACTGTAAATCGTAATGCCCTGTGGACTGTCCTTCTGCAAATTGGCTGCCCAGATAAATTTGTAAACATCATTCAGCTCCTCCATGATAATATGACAGCAACAATTGCAGATAACAATGGCTCTCAAAGTGAACCATTCGCATTAGGAACAGGTGTTAAACAGGGCTGTGTTATTGCCCCAACTCTATTCATTATTTTCATTGCCATGATCCTACACTTTGTTGAAGGGAAATTCCCCACCGGAGTAGAAATTATATATCGAACAGATGGAAAGCTCTTCAATCTGAGCAGGCTGAAAGCAAAGAGTAAGGTTACCATAACTTCCGTCATAGAGCTTTAGTATGCTGATGACAATGTAGTGTGCGCACGCTCAGAGGATGACCTCCAAACCATCCTAAATATCTTTGCAGAAGCTTACACTCAACATCCAAAACACCAAAGTGCTGCACCAACAAGTACAAAATAACCCCTCTGCAGCACCACAAATCCAACACAATGGTGTAATGTTGGAAAATGTTGATCACTTCTCCTACCTAGGCAGTTATCTTTCCACAAGGGCCAACATTGATTCCGAAATCTGGCATCACCTGAGCTCTGTGAGTGTGACTTTCTCCCAATTGAAGCACAGAGTGTTTGAGGACCGGGACATTCACAGGGAAACCAAAATGCTTGTTTACAAAGCTATTGTACTACCAACCTTACTATATGCTTGTGAAACATGGACCACTTATAAACACCATTTCCAGCTCCTCGAAAGATTCCATCAACTGTGTATCCGAAAAATTCTACACATCACTTGGGAAGACAGGCGAACTAATATCAGTGTACTGGAAGAAGCAAAGATCACCAGTGTTAAAGCAATGATTCTTCAACATCAACTTTGTTGGACTGGTCATGTTGTGCGTATGCCTGATGATCGTGTTCCAAAGCAACTACTCTATTCCGAACTTAAAAATGGAAAGCGTAATGCTGGTGGTCAACAAAAGAGGTTTAAAGACTGTCTCAAGGCAAATCTAAAAAAATGTAGTATAAACACTGACAACTGGGAAACACTGGCCTGCGAACGCTCTAGTTGGAGAACAGCCTTTACCATAGGTGTCATGGGCTTTGAAGACACTCGAACTCAGGACGTAAGGGAGAAACATTCTAGGAGGAAGGCACGCTTGGCAAATCCACACCGTGATCAACTCCCGCCAATGTCCCCATTGTGGAAGGATATGTGGATCCAGAATTGGTCTCCACAGTCACTTACGGACTCATTGTTAAAACCATGTTTATGGAAGACAATCTTACTCGGCTATGAGTGATCGCCAAAGAGACATGTCCAGTAAATTTGGTTCTTACAATTTTTATTTTTTATTTTTTTGCCCTGGATGTGAATAAATACCCAAGAATGAAATACATAAGCAGCATGAGCTGGCACCTGATAAAAGTGGATCTTCTTCCATTGGTGATAGGAGTTTTAGTTCATGGATTAAATTTGCACAGGGTTGTATCCAGTGGTGGCTTTTGCGCCAGCAAGCAGTCCTTTTGCTCATGCAAGGCATGATACCTCGTCTACTCCACCTACTGAACTTCTCTGCAGCATAACCCTCTGCAGCATTCTGTTCTGGAAGGTCCCCCAACCCTCAGGAGTAGGACTGATTTACTTTGGAAGGGTGGAGTAGCTAAGGGTGATTGGCGAAACATGTTGTGCTTTGCCTTGCATGAGCAGAAGTGCTTTCTTGCCAGCACAAAGCCACCACTGGATATAACCCATATATATCATGTGTACTTTGAGGAGGAAGGGAGCCAAGAATAATCACAAATGAACAATTCGTATTTGTTGCACTGCTTGTATACAGTATTTTGAAATTGGTATACAAAAAGAAAGAACTCTCTTGACAAAATTGCTACTGCTGTGCTGTGAGAAGTTGCTGCACCTTAATATCCGCCCATCTCAGTCACATTCTGACTTTGCCTTTGTTGGGATCTTCTCTGAGTTCCTCCACATGACCTGTCTATTGAGCATTTGTCTTTATTTGCTTGCCCAAAGCTTATGCAAAGATTTGGTGATGTTGAGTCTTTATTTAAACAGTTGCTCTGATTTGTTTCCTATGAGGTTATACGACGATGAACATTCATCCTGATTGCATTCTGATTTGCTTGCATGGTGGTTATACAAATTCCCACTAGCCAAATGTTTATCCCACACTTCTAAGTGCATTTTTCTGACACTTTCCTAACTGCAAAAATGTTCATATCTCTTAGGAAAATGGATTCGTTGTGCTAGGGCAATAGAGCAGTTTTATCCATTCTAATTGCACAAATCCAAATCTCTGGTATGCAGTTGAATCTCACAAAATACTGACAGTCTGGAGGCAGTCTTCGTTTTCCTCTAAGCTCCTTTCCAGATCAATGTCACTGAAGTCACCTCATGGAGTAATAACAGTAGTGAATTTACTGTTGTCTCCCAGCCAGCGGAGAAGAGTGGAGCCCTTGTTCTATCATGAGCTCTTGTCAAATTCTAATGCCAGTGATGTTTTCCAGTACCTGCTCATGGCAGGTAGTCTTTGTGTTCTAATTCTTGTTCTCTTCCAGTGGTGTGTTTATGACAGGGAAGTTTTGCCCTTATTGATGAGTGCAGCTTGTAGATGATAGGAAGATATCAAAGAGAGGAAGCAACTGGCCATAGAATTGCCTTATCGCATGAATCCATGTAAATAGAATCATAGAGTTGGAAGAGACCACAAGGGCCATCGAGTCCAACCTCCTGCCAAGCAGGAAACACCATCAGAGCACTCCTGACATATGGTTGTCAAGCCTCTGTTTAAAGACCTCCAAAGAAGGAGACTCCACCACACTCCTTGGCAGCAAATTCCACTGTCGAACAGCTCTTACTGTCAGGAAGTTCTTCCTAATGTTTAGGTGGAATCTATGATTCTATGAATAGAATATGATTCTATGATTCTATGAATGCATAGGAATGCAGTGAGAGAATTTAGCCAAACTGAATGAGTATCCTCAGCAGTTTATCTTATTTTGTTGTCCCTCAGGCCTTGTATGGTTCATATGCATGTTCAAAGCTTACTTCAGTTCTGTTTGGTTTACTGTCTAACCTAGTTCAGCCAAATCACTTTTCTGAAGACTTTTTTCCCCTGTGCTTGCTCCTCACCCCTCCTTCAGCTATTCTTTCTTCCCTGGAAGGGACACCCGCATATTCCTGAATTGCAGGGGGTTGGACTAGATGATCCTCATGGTCCCTTCCGACTCTATGATTCTGAGACATTGCAATCTTCCTGATACCCATTCTGCAAACTTCAGTCTGCAAATTGTTTCAACCCCATTACACATTTGAACAATTCATTCATGGCTTCTCTCTCTCCCTCCCAGCTTGCTGTAAAACAGGTGTTTGAGTCTGAGCCACTTAGCCCATTGTATAATTCATGCTACACATTTTACTGCTTGTTTCCCCCTTCACTTTGTTGTCGCCTTTCTCTTGTCTGAACAAGGCATTGTGTGCATGCTGTCCAATTGTGAGCAAAGTGACTCCCTGATGAACGCAACATCATGCATGTTTAAATGGATGTGGAGTGGAAATTAAGTGCTTCTAATCTTTCATACACCAGTAATTTATTCTCCAGAGTCCACGGCCAGGCTTGTCGGCTTCTCAGATGTATTTCATTCAAGGCTCGGCAGGATTCCAAAAAAACAGACGGCAGCTTCTCTTTTGCTTATGCCAACTTTGAGGGCCTTTCCAGACGCTTCATAGGGAAGATTTTGCTTCTCTCTACTAGGGTTGCACTCACATTCACCATATGATGCCATATATTCTCTGCCCCCATGTACTGAAAAAGTCAAAGTTGCTGCAGGGGGTGGGGGGACTTGACAAAGAATGACAGACCCGTGCTTCACTGATATGAGCAAGCACACAACTTCCAAGGGAACAACAGTAAAGAAACAGGGGGAACTGTAGGATCCTGTCTGTGCTCCCTTGTTGCCTCCACTGGTGGTACACGGTTGGCAGCTGGGATTTGGGGA